GAGCCTGAAAGAGGTCTCACTCAAGAGTGGCCAGAAAAAAAGTGAACCCCCTCCCCACTCACTTGGGGAAGTTGACATATAAATAGCTGTAGTATGATTGGCAAAATCTTATCAGCGTATTACCTTTAAAACTGTTGGTTATCATAATTGCCTATTTAATAATCCAGTGAACTTCTCCAAAACTCAGCCTTTTGCTTAGGCAGTGAACTTCTCAATTATTCTCACCCCCCCCCCGCGTCAGTAACTAGCTTCTTTGGAATATTGAATTTGCGTACAGCAAACACTTGCCTAACAGACTTGTTGGCCTTAGGCCGACTCCTCCTTATCACCGTATGCTCTTTGTGTTTCGAGACGGAGAGCAAGACCGTCGGAGGGACTTTTCTTTGAAATGCGGACAATTTTGATGGATTGTGGGGAGGGTTTAAGGTATTTATGAAATGACTCCACCGTTGTTAATGGTTCCAAGAGCAAATAAAGATGGTAAAGCTGAGTTTGGTGCTGGCGCGTTCTCACGGAGGGCACTGCCGTCCTGAGGAGCTCGACATCTGTGGTTGGTTATTGCTAATTAGTTTTGGCTCATCTCACTAATCCAAGGACGTAACTTTGGATGAAGTCCCCCCCCCCCTTCCATCATAACAATATGGTTATTTGGGGGCAGTTATATTGGCTGGTTCCCCCCCATCCACCACCCATAATTTACTTCCATGACTTAATCCGATACAATGTAGCCTCAATGTTGTCTACTTTCTGTGAAGACCGTGAACATTTTTGACCATTCGGCTCTCGGGTCTGTCACCGACCCCAAGGCGGAACCTGGGAGATCGTGTCCCTCACAGGGGACGCCGTATATGTTGGTGACGTTAATGTGGCGCACACACAACTTTATCGTTCCCTAATATTTAGTAGTTGTTTGTTTCTCGGTGGCTCGGAATGTTCCGGCGTAATCTCCCATAACGCCACGAGTTTGCAGCGAGCCGACGCCGTATCGGTCAGACCCGACGGCTTTTCGGCGAGAGGATCGCAGCCTTCGCTCCAGGGTTCCGATTGGCCAGCCGGGTAGCTTATCGGCGCGGCAGTGATTCCGCGACCGCGTGCTCGGCCTGCAAGCCTACGGCGACGTTTACAGCGTAAATGTTATCGTACAGATGACACTTTAAACTGCCTTTATCAATATATAGTTATTCAAGGTTTATGAGTTTTGATAAAATGCTACTTGCTAAGTG